ATACTGTTACTTATCTCCCTTTTGTTTTCCTTAAACTTCTTACATTTACCAGTAGCTTGTTCCGTTTTTCCCTCCGTTTTTCCACAGTGTAATACTGACAGGAAGTAGTTAGCGGTTTTTCAAAATAAAGCTCATTATAACCAAAAACTCAAAACCGAGCAATTTGCATATCAGAACATTTCTTATGGTAAAAACAAATCATGAACTGCATTTTATACACTTAAATCATGAAAATAAATGCATTGAAAAATAGCTCAACTATATGGTAAAGGAATATTTTAATATTTTTAATAACCAAACAGGTGGTTTGCTACAGATTGCATTTAGCCTCTATACAGAATTAGAAAATTCATCATCAGGGTTCTGTAGAACTGGACGTTTCTAGTTAAAGACTGCCTATCATTAGCTCAAAACACAATTCTGAAATAATCAATATATTTTTAGAGATTGATTTAGTTGATTTGGTTCTTTTTAATAGGACTACATTGTACTGTCCATACACTGGGATCTCTGTGGGGAGGCTATACCAACAAATTAAATGTTTGAGAAACCCAGACTTGGATAATAGTATCATAGATTGCCTCCACTCCCTGTGGAGGCCACTGGGCTCTCATATAAGACCTTTAAAGATTTGACATTTACAGACATGGAAATCAGCTGTGATCACTCCCAGGCCGAGCCAGATCACAAAGGAGGGGAAAAAAAATTGAGAAGAGAGCGAGAGAAGAAAATGAAGACAGGGAGTGAGAGTATCCAGTGAGAACGTCAGCGCTGTGGACAACGTTCCTGCAGGAATTTGAGGAGGAGGACAGCTTGACTGCATCTCAATTAAAGCAATGACAAATGAGGAAAGAGGAGTACGAGGCGATGGGATGTAAAGCAGCAGAGGCTGAGGGGATGGGTTGGAATGATAAAGTGGCAGATGTATAGGCAGGACCGGGGGAGGCGTAGGCGGGTGGCAAGAGGAAGGAGAGGAACAGAAGTAATCTGAGGGACGATAGAGTGGCTGTCTGACACCTTGACGACAGAAAATCATTAACCGATGCTACAGTTCAGTCGCAATACAGAAGTCTACTAATGGCTCTTGATTCAATTTTAGCATGATAAGATAGTCGCTGTATTATCATCTTCATCTAATGCAAGATTTGGTCAAACTTTTAAAAAAGAAAATATGAATTAGAGGTGTTTCCATCCATTGGAGTGAATCTAACCAGACGATGCAAAGTGTGATATCCTCATACACCAACTTTACTGTACACCTGGCTATAATAAACAGGATGATGTAGCAAGCTAGCATGGATCAGATCTGTAATGGGTTTTATGAATGTGTTGCAATTGGACAAGTTGTACTTCTTCATTTATCATGGCAGCTAGTATTAGTGATGTTACATGCTATCCAGGGACATTGAGAGAAAAGTGTGATTCTAATGCTAGGGTTCATGATGCCAGCAGTGCAAACAGCTAATCCGTCATGTGAGGTAAATGTATATAGAAATGATTCTTCCATCTTTAGATAAAAAGCACCTAAATTCAGCTGGTTAAAATTTTCAATCAAGTTCTTCTAAAGTTATTCCTCAAAATGCACGTGCAACATTGAGATAGAAACACGCAGCTAAGGTCTGTTATGCAGGAGGTTTGTTCAGCAGCAGGACCTTTATCTGAGATTTTTTAGTGTTAACTATTAGAAAACATAAAACAAAGGTTTAGAAAGTGATGGGGTAAGATAACTGTAAATGTAATTCTGTTAGTGTGAATAATCATAAGATTTGTAATTTTTTAATGTTGTCAACTCACATATACATGTTACAGCAGATTTTGTCTTTTGGAAAATACAAGCTTAGAAGTTACACTGCAAAAAATCTAATCTTAGTAATTCCTTTTTTTTTAAGTTTTTAAAGTGCATTTTTTTCTTGAATTGAGGTGTGAGACACTTGCCAATGGAACAGAACAATATCCCTGTAAAATAAGAAGAAAACTATTGCATTGTATTATTTCAATTCAATTATCTAATAATCTTATTAGTAAAAACACTCATTCCAATTGCAAATAGTCTTATTTACCTATTCATATTAAGGGTAAACACACTTAATGTGAGTGTACACGTCTACACATCCTTTTTTTGCTTTTTTTTTTTTTTTTTTTACCAAATTACAGTTATAAATCTATATTTTCAGACGAAAACAGAACCAATCTGTTGTTCTGTTTTCGTCTTCTTATCGTTCAAAGGCAGTAGGTAAACACCTCTCAGGTGCCTTATCATCACACACAGGAGTTTATAGTCGTGCTGATAAATTTGTGATTTGCACTTGAAGTTTTACAATGGTGTAACTTTGTAACTTGAGTTAAAAACTTCTAAACTTGTATTCTCACAGATGAAACATCTGATCTCATATGTATGTATGAATTGACAGCAATAAACAAAGCAAATCTTAAAACGATTCATGTTTATCGACTTACATTTAGATGATAAAAACAAACACAAACTTTTATTGAGTTATTTTAGTGTCTGAATGTAACTAATCTCTGCAAAGACTGGACGTCTGAGGAGTAACGGGGGGCTAACTGAAGCACAGCTGAGCTTTCAATCAGCATCTGCATGTGTAGAAACTGTTAAAGCTTAGAGTTGGTCTGTGCTTTTATTTCTACTCAACTAAGACAGACTTCAATCTTTCAGCATAACAAACATTTTTATCTTAAAGTTCAGGAGTGCTGACCTTCCCTCATTTGTTGCTGCACATGCCTGCTAAGCTGGCCTATAAGAGGGATGCTACACTTCTCCTTTACTTCCAAATCACATTCAACTGTTTAGAGTTACATTTTTTTCAAACATCTATGTATAAAAAAATCCAAAGAAAATCAGATATATGTGTTTTATTATGATCATTCCAACAGAAGAATGCGTTCTGTTCACAAAAAAGTGTAAATATGACATTATTATTGACTGCAACCATTAAAATCTTATGCCATGTCTAGTTTGCACTCTAGCAATATTTAAAATTTAGCAACAAATGCAGAGAATAATTTAGAGTTATTGATGACATTTACACTGATGGGGGTAATTGGTAATATAACATAAAAAAAATAATTGATTTCCTTTATGCAACAGTTCTAATTCTCTGGTAGGGAGTGTAACGTCGCCTCTAAACAGGTATAGTTCACTAGTAATGGCATGTCTTGGGGAATTTCACTAATATATTGTACTTTTTCAGATTTTTATCTTATTTTATTAACAAAGCCTCAGAGTTGGAACTGATGCACTCTCTCGTTTTTCTCAGCAGTTTGTGTTCTGATTTATCAGCTTTGCAGCAAAAGGATATCACAGCATCTACATCACCTACCTTTCCAGAGGTTTATTACGCAATTATCAACTTGTAAATATACATACCACTGAAGGCATGGGCACAAATGTCAAAAGATTAGCTAGCTGTGACTATGTGGCCTAATAATTTTCACGTACACAACACAAGGGGAAAAAGCACTAATTATTCAGGTAAAATTGGTCTAGAATGGAAAAAAATATTTAAATCCCACCTAATTCTGGATTTTTGCCTTACAACTGAAAACTAGAAGAAGAAAAACAACCTAAAGTGTCTCCATCTTTTTCTTGCAGGTCTGAATACTTATGAATCAATAATGGACCTCAGCAGCAGGAGTGATTCAATAAGCCTGTGTCTTCAATGGATGCTATTAACCTGAAGGAAAGGCTCAATAAACAACGAGGGCAGGTATCAGTGATCTAATTATAACAGCCCCACACTATATGTCCTTTCACAGGAAGCCAGAAGATTTTCTTTCCTGACACCCCTTAGTCGTACAGTAGTCAGCTGGAGGCTCTGAGTAATAGTAGCAGTGACTGGGAAACATAACGCTGCAGGGTATGCACTGGAGGGCCAAGGCTTTTATATATGTGCATACATTAGATCTGAGCTGACTTGGTGTAAAGTAATGATGTAATATAGAAATGGGCTTTGTGGTTCCAAAGCATTATGGGCCCAAAATAAGGATATATTGATTTTCTTTTAAATATGTGTTCTGCTACCAAAGAAGTGTAATTTCTATTTGTAATAACAAAGATAACCAATATGCAATGTCAGAAACAATATTGTCTTAGAACAGCTCTTACATAAGCTTAGGTTCTCGGAACATAAAATGTGACATTCAGGGGTTTTATTTGTATGCTACACACCTAGCCTAAATGCTAAATGTCTTTTCAGTTTTTTCAATCTTTGTTTTATATGGATGTAGATATTTCTGAGGCTCCAGTTCAATTCCCTGTTCGTCTTTTTTGTGGCTGCATGTTGAACCCTTTATTTTGTTTTAAAAAACAGTTTTGATCCAAAGTATTGTCATTTTTTAAAATGTTTTCTGAACACTTTATCTTACAATTCATCTCAAGTGATGTTAAATTCAATCCCAAGTAAAAAAAAAACTAACTAAAAGAATAATATTATAAAATGTTGTTAGATAACATTTTATGCGTCATATTGCCTATATTACATTTGACCCTGGGTGTAAAATCTTCCATATGCATGTACAAAATGATCAATTCTGCTAAAGTATGATATCATTAAGACCGTCAGTCCATTTTCAGAACTGCATTTACAAGGAAGCAATTTAAAAACTTCAAGCATGTATCTTGTTGGGAGACACACATCTTTCGTATGAACAAAAGAGAACAAAAAGTGAAGAAACATCAAAAAACACATTTTCAATAAATTATATATCATACATTAAAATCCAGGAAAGCTGTGCCCTAAAGCTAGCTCTAAAACAGCAGATTGTTTTCTTTCCCGTCTGCTCCTGTATATTATGAAGACTGCAGCTCCAACAAACACGTGTAAACCACCTAAACCCCAACACCAGAGTAAGTCATTCACAGACGCAAAAGACATAATAAAGAACATAGGTTGGTAGCTTCATCATATTTGAGGACAAAGCCAAGCAGAAGTTTCTTACCTGAGATGACTTCAATCAGTATTCCTAAATTTTAAAAAGGATATGGGTTGCGGACCATTTTGATACACCAACTTCGGGGAGGTGTGGTTTGTTTCATGTAGAAGAAGACCACAGGTGCATACTCAGGGTAGGGCTGACTCTTCCCTCCACCCTGCGTGGAACCCTCGTCCCCGGCCACAGAGATCCCATCAGGGGCTGGGGATGCTCGCTCTATCACCAGCTCGCTGCTTCCGCTAATACCCTCCCCACCTTCTGCAGTCATCCCGGACAGGTCGTTAAGTGGGATGAAATTCCTCGGAAGAGAGGAGCGACTTTCCGAACCCCTGACTTTAGGGAGCGAGGAGAGATTTCCCCCATCCTCAGCCATCACTCAACTCCTGCAAGGGATCAGATGATGTGCAATTAAATGTAAAATCTGCTAAAATAACTTTATTATTATCTATTATTATTGATAAATCTATTTTATATACCAATGCTGTTGAAATTTCCTTTTTTATATCTGTTGGAAACAACATATGAACACTATTAAATGAAAGCAGTAGGACTTAGATGTTTATGGGCTATAATATGAATGAATATGATTGTACGAAAAGCTACAACTTATTTTAAGACTTTGTTTCTGTTTGGTAAAAATGTTTCAACTTTGTAACAACCTGAGCCACTTTAGCAACACCACTAACGCTAATGTTAAACTTGCTAGCTCATTAACCCTGAGGCAGTCATTGTAAAGGAAATTGACTGCAGCTGTCAGTCGAGCTGAGCTATATGTCTAATCTAAATCCTAATGCTTTGCAATATTTGAAAATTACCTCTTTGATGCAACATTTGCAAAATTATTACTGTAATTTCAAATTTGATGACTACACACCTGTGACCTGTTAAAAAGGAGATAGAGAACAGCAAAAAAAAACAAAAACCCCACCAACAACTTTAGTTAATAATGTAAAAAATAAAATAAAAATTCATGTCCTTGTAACAAGGTAAAGCCTTAGGTTTAAATATTCGCTTGTGGTATATATGAGAAATAATCTTTACAGATGGAGTCAATTAGTTTTACTTTATGTATTCTGTACATATAACACATTTTAAATAGTCATTTAACTTTTTCATGCATAGTGACCAACTTTTGGCACTTATGCATTTAGACTGATCTACTAGAAGCTATTGCATCATTCCAAACGGAAAAGTCCAATTTATTGATCATTGGAATGGAAAAAAAGTAAGTTAAAGGTATACTATGCAACCGGTGTTGATTTTTCAGCGAGGCTCCCCCCAGAGGGCGAAAGTAAAAGTGCACTGTCGCAAATATGCTCAGCTGTTCTCCTGGTTTCTCTGTTGAGCCAGGCGCGGTTGTTTTGAGCTTAGCAGACAGGCGAATGCAACGAATCACCATGTCTACTGCGGTAAGTGACTTTTTTGTTCCAATTTTCGAGTTTGAAAATTTAGCATGTTTTCATACATTTACAACTGCACAAATATCGCCACAGCACTAGCAACGAGCATGCCTTTCACTGGGGGTGTGTAGCAGTTCTCGCCATAAAGCAAGACCGAGTCTCGCGATACACAAGACTGTGGGTGCGGGTCGAGGGCTCCTGCAATTGTACGGTATTTCCCCTACAGACCACCAGGGCGGCCGAGAAAACCTTTGTTCGACCTGAAATTACTCATTTAATCATCCAAAACGTTATGGAACATATTAACAGAAAAATTTAGCATAGTATGCCTTTAAACCAAGATGGCTGACACAGGGAAAAAGACAAAAGACGTCAAATATTTTGGTTTCTACACCGGAGTAAAGGCACAACCATTCCACCAGAATATTATATTGCAACTGTAAAACTACAATACAACTACATCGAGCAACTACTTTGATGATACATTGATTTTCTTTACAGTATAAAATGCATTAAGTACACTTGATTGGACAAATAAAGATCGCTTTATAGAATAAAGATTGAAAAAAATGTTGGTACCACTTTCTTAACGGTACATCAATAATCGTGCAATATTATGGTTAAAAACACAGCAATTTATCCTATATTACTTGGTAACAACAATGGAGAATTTTTGCTTCAAAATTTAGGCAGACAAGATAAAGCCAGACTTCTTAGATTTCAAACTGTTATTAGCTGGTATCTCATATTCATTTCACTGACAGCAATAAACGAATGCTATAATCTAGTAAAATGCAGATTATTATTTGGCATATAACAGAAAACCAAACGAAGAAGACAGCAAGCCAATCTTCTTAACTAAACTCGTATTTATCATAAGATAAAATTTACTTTGTAATCTGTTGGTATAAATAAAGTTTTTCTTGTTACACAGTAATATATTGTGACTTGTTGAGTTATTACCAGGTTATTACATGGCTATTGATGTACTGTAAAATAAAGTATTACCAAAATGTTTTCAAACCTTGTTTTACATTCCTAAAGATCGATAAACATACTTAGTAAAAAAAATCATTTTATCATAATTCATGCATTAGAGGACTAAAGTTAACTTTCTGAGTAAATTTGGAAAACATGCATACTTACACTGTAAACATTTATTTTGTTGTGCATCAATCCATTAGTCAACATAGTTTGATTTTTATTTCTATTGAACATTTTCATTTTTAAATCTACTGTTGGAAAGTGATTTACATTCTAACAGCATTTTTTATTTTACCTTAGTAAAATAGCTATCCCTTAAACATCAGGATTGAAACTTGTCTGTTATTTTTCGTGTCAAAGATATCGTTCAAAATGCAAAGATGTTTTTTTTTCTTCAAGAATTTGTTTATAAACTCAGCAAATTTTGGAAATTGTTTGGATGTGGGTATGAAAGGTTTTCTGCACTGAATCAAAGACTATCTATAAAGTCTAAATGGCTAGCACACTTCCTAACTCAGTTATCTGATAATCAACTTTGTTGCTCAATGCAAATGAACATTACAGTCCAGTTCGATTCCTGCATTTAACTCACCCCTCAGGTGTCAGTGGGAATCTGCCAGGAATCTAGGCCCAAAGTGGAAGGGTGTTAGGTTTGACTTAGATGCTGGCAGCCTTCATAGAACATCTTAATAGTTTGTAAAAAAAAAAAAAAAAAATGTTTTAAATTACAAACCTTGAAGGCCTACAATTTCTTATTAAAGTGTGGATATAAAAAAAGCACTTAATGTTTGTATGTTAAATGTTCCAAATAAAAAAAAAAAATTAAACTTATTTCTGTGATTTATGTGTTGGACAGCATATCTGGAGATCATCACAAATATTCCAAATCCAAACTTACTTTGAAGCCAATAAACCACAACTTGTGTTTATTTAGGATTTCTTGCACATTTGTCCAACTTCATCCTCACTTTATTTCCATTAAGCTCAAAATGTGAGCTAAAGAATTAAATTATTAAAAAGACAATAAAAAGCATTAAATTGTTTGCCCCCCTTATTAAAGCTGACTGAATTTTATTGAGATTTATTGATTTTGCCACCTGCTGACACATGAAGCTCTAGCGGAAGTTCAATTGAAGAAACTCTGACTTACCTCCATCAATCAGAAGCCGATCCGTCTCTGAAGCGAGCCAATCAGCTTCGAACTACTCCACCATGAAGCCAAATCAGCGTCCTGCTTCCACTTTATAAACTCCCTCAAATCTCACCACAGCCGCTATCCTGCAATCGCAATGTCGGATTTCGATTCAGACGACAATCCAATTTTCCCTGCTCGGAGAAGCTCCCGTCTAGCCGCTCTCATCTCCTTCTTCCGCGTTACACTCCAAGGGTATATTGCCAGACTCCGACCTAGACTCTGCTCAGATGTCTCAACGAGCCTCCCTCTTACCTCCTCGTGATTCATCTCCCTCGCCTTCCGCTCTTCAATCTGCTCCGATTCCTGGCCGCAAAAGACATGCAAGTCCTCCGCTCCCCTCGCCAAGCGCAGAAGGCCTCCCGGATCTGTCCCAGCAGCAGTCACCACTACGCCCGCTCCTTCTCATCGTTTCGATGCAGCCTTGGACCTTCTTCAGCTTCCTGATTCATAACAGCTCCCCCGTCTAGCCCTTCTGGCGTTTAACAGCTCTCAGCCTCCCTCCGCTCCACCGGACTCTCTCACTCAATCCGTTTGACGCTGTCCGCACGCTCCAAACGTGGAAATCCCTGCACTGCCACGTCATCCCTGCCGCTGTCTGCTCAGACGGACCTCCCCCTCCCCTCATTCATATTAGGGAACGCCCGCCCCGGGCCAGCCTTAGGTAAGACGTATTCAACCATGTTTTCATTCATAATTTTCTATCTATTTGAGTTCGCTATTTATACTTTGCCTGCCTCTTATTCAGGCATACCTTATATTAACATGCATGCTGATATTTCCACTAGCCTCGTTCTAATTATTCAGGGGAAATATTTTAATTTAGTCTTTCTATTCTTCCCTCCCCTGAAGTCAATCAGCAGGTCGCTTCAGCAGGTGACGTCACAGTTTTCCTTAATCATCCGATCTCCGTCTATTCAGAGATCCTCTATTGGCAATTTCCTGCCGCATTCAGCATCTATCCATAACCATAGCTTCCGCAGGAGGCCATTCAATATCAGTCTATCCCCGCCGTGCACGCTTCACATAAGTCGTACCTCAGTCTTAGCAGCCCGTCATCTTACCACCCCTTATTATTTTTCTGATTATCGTCTTGTCTCCTCATAATCTGTCGTTTGATAATAATAATAATAATAATAATAATAATAAAAAAAAATAAAAAATACAAAACTGGTGTTCTCCATCAGTCATTTCTAAACGCCAATTGCGCTCCTTGCTAGGTCAGCTAATTTGCCATGCGCTTATTTCTCAAGGCCGCTCTTTCATTCCCAGTTGCTTGATCCGGCAATTTCCGTCCCTCTCCTTGGTCAGATTACTGAACGTAGGCTGCCGTTCGGATCTCCTGGTCAGACTGCTTCTAAATTGGAACGAAATTTCTTTTCTATGTCGACATTATCTATCTCCTGCCATGCTTCAAAAATTTTACGGATGCTGCATCCGTAGGTTTTGGGTGGTTCTTCAGGACAGGTGGTTCGTGGGTTCATGGCCTCTTTTATTCACACCCAATTATCTGCTTGTGTGAGGTCTTCCCTTAGCTAGCTTGCCATCGTGGGGCTTTGGGAAGGTATCGCGTCCGCCCACTGCGATAACATCGTAGTAGTTGAAGCCACTAATAAAGTCACTCCTCCTCCCAGTCTCTCATGCCCTTCATCAGAAGCATCACTGGCAGCAGTCACTAACGTTTCATCATCTCGGCGCGTCATGTTTCAGGCATTCTAAGCACTTTCATTTCGCCCAAGGGTTACCCTACGTCCACTCATGGTTCCTTCACCAACTCAGGATACTCTTAGAATCATGTGGCCTTCCCTCTAGTAGGTAATCTGGGCATTCGTTCTGGACCGAGCAGCTGCTTCCCAGCTACTCGCGTGGTTCTGAGGCTTCCCTCAGCTCTGGGCCGATGGTTCACCAGCCTATACCTCATTCATCCGCCCAGAACTCTCACCAATTCTCGCAGCTCAGCGCTCTCTCTGCCTCTAGGTAACTCTATTACAAATACTGGTGGTGGTTCAACTCATTCTCATAATTTTCTGACCTAATCACGACCATCCTCTAACTCATTTTCTACTCCCACTCCTTATCAGTTTTCTTCATTATTCCCTGCTTCATCCAGTCTTCCATGCTGTCTCCTTGCTATATTCATGCTGTCTTCATTCTGGCTCGCATTCATGCAATCTCACCTTTATGTCAGGCATTTACATGCATTCTCCTGTGTGTCACGTCACGTCTGGTCTGTGTCTCGTCATGCATTCCCTAATGCATCAATTCTTCATATATGTTATCATCCGCAAGATCATTATCAGACTCATCCGCAAGATTCATTATCAGACTCATCCGCAAGATTCATTATCAGACTCATCCGCAAGATTCATTATCAGACTCATCCGCAAGATTCATTATCAGACTCATCTGCAAGATTCATTATCAGACTCATCCGCAAGATTCATTATCAGACTCATCCGCAAGATTCATTATCAGACTCATCTGCAAGATTCATTATCAGACACATCCGCAAGATTCATTCCCTAATGCATCACATGCTCCCTATCTGTGTCTAGTCGTGTCTCGTCATGCATCCTTTACGCCATTTTGCTTGCATTTCCAATGCATCAATATGCACCATGTCTGCGTCTCGTCATGTCTGTATCCCGTCATGTTATATGTTCTATATGGACTCATCCGCAAGATCATTTTCAGACTCATCCGCAAGATTCATTATCAGACTCATCCGCAAGATTCATTATCATCGTCATCATAATGAGATACATCATCGTCATCATCATCATCATCATCCGCAGGATTCATCATCATCATCCGCAGGATTCATCATCATCCGCAGGATTCATCATCATCATCATCATCCGCAGGATTCATCATCATCATCATCATCATCATCATCATCCGCAGGATTCATCATCATCATCATCCACAGGATTCATCATCGTCATCCGCAGGATTCATCATCGTCATCCGCAGGATTCATCATCATCATCGTCATCCGCAAGATTCATCGTCATCATCATGGGTAAGTCATCATCATCATCATAGGTTCATCATCATCATCATCATCATCATCATGGGTAAATCATCATCATCATCATGGGTTCATCATCATCATCATGGGTAAATCATCATCATGGGTAAATCATCATCATCATCATGGGTAAATCATCATCATCATCATGGGTAAATCATCATCATCATCATCATGGGTTCATCATCATCATGGGATCATCATCATCATGGGATCATCATCATCATGGGTTCATCATCATCATCATCATGGGTAAATCATCATCATCATCATCATGGGTTCATCATCATCATCATCATCATCATCATCACGGATTCATCATCATCATCATGGGTTCATCATCATCATCACGGATTCATCATCATCATCATGGGTTCATCATCATCATCATCATCATCATCACGGATTCATCATCATCATCACGGATTCATCATCATCATCATGGGTTCATCATCATACTCATCATGGTGGGTTCATCATCATCATCATCATCATCATGGGTTCATCATCATCACGGGTTCATCATCATCATCATCATCATCACGGGTTCATCATCATCATCATCACGGGCTCATCATCATCATCATCATCACGGGTTCATCATCATCACGGGTTCATCATCATCATCACAGGTTCATCATCATCACGGGTTCATCATCATCATCATCATCATGGGTTCATCATCATCATCATCATCATCATCATGGGTTCATCATCATCACGGGTTCATCATCATCATCATCATCGCGGGTTCATCATCATCATCATGGGTAAATCATCATCGGTAAGTTTTCGGCGTCTACCGTGGTCGCCATCCTCATCAACAACCTGGCTCGGTAAGTTGTTCGCAAACCTTCTCAGCATTTCATTACGCATTCTTTATTCTGTCCCTAGTGTATGCCCTACGAGCATACGGACTCTCCGGCCTCAACCTCAGCTTTTTGGGGGGAACATCCCTATTCACATTCATCTACTCATGCATGTTAAAGCATAATTCAGCATGAATGTTCCTGCCGAGGTCTGAGCGCCAAAGACTATACTTTCTTATCAATAAATTCTTCTAATTATCTTTTCTCTCTGTGTGAGTTTTTCAGATTGAAATGAAGCTCTAGCGGAAGTTCAATTGAAGAAACTCTGACTTACCTCCATCAATCAGAAGCCGATCCGTCTCTGAAGCGAGCCAATCAGCTTTGAACTACTCCACCATGAAGCCAAATCAGCGTCCTGCTTCCACTTTATAAACTCCCTCAAATCTCACCACAGCCGCTATCCTGCAATCGCAATGTCGGATTTCGATTCAGACGACAATCCACCCACCTCCATCCCCTTCTCCGCCATCGCAGCTGAATCGTCCTCCATGACACGACTTTACCTCAACCTCATCAGAGAGTATTAATCCCAGTTGTCACCATCCCTCATCTCATTGCATTGGTCCGGCAGAAGACCACCATGTTGAGCCCGGTCCTGCCAGAGGTTTCTTCCCAAGGGGAGTTTTTCCTCTCCACTGTCGCTTCATGCTTGCTCATCATGGACAGTTCACGGTACCTGCATCACCAAGCAGGACCTCTATATCCCGAGTCTGAGTGAAGCCCCGGCGTCAGCTCCCTCAGTCTTCTAGTCCCACAATTCTGCCCAGCAGATCACCTTGTCAACCAGCTCGGATTAAACCACCACCAGTTTCAGGCCCGGGGGAACATCCCTATTCACATTCATCTACTCATGCATGTTAAAGCATAATTCAGCATGAATGTTCCTGCCGAGGTCTGAGCGCCAAAGACTATACTTTCTTATCAATAAATTATTCTAATTATCTTTTCTCTCTGTGTGAGTTTTTCAGATTGAACTAATAGTTATTGCACCATTTTGGCAACTGGTGCACAAACATCTAGTTTTCACATGTGAAAAAAAATATTATTAATGAAACACATTGAATGGCAGTAATGCATCCAATACCTACCTATAATTGATAAATAAACATAGATATTGGACTGTTATTTATTTATCTGTACATTCACTGCAGTGTTTCCAGATCTTACATTTAGTTGATTTTATGAAATATTGAATCCAATCCAAATATGAAATTTGTACCAAGATTTTTTTGTTGTTTATCAGGCATAGTTTTTATCAGACTATACAAAAAATAAACAAATAAATAAAGCCCAGAGTAGTTAAGCAGCACAAAGATCAATTATTTGTTTAGAAACCATGGACCCAAATTAAAAGTAGTCAGATCTTCGCATTGCTGTTCTCGGTTCATCTTTATGTTTTTATCCATTGCAAACATCCAAATACCACCATGCATCATTTAGAAATAAAACTAATTAAACCAGACAAGAGTCGCTTTTTTCAGATTAGATCAAAGTGTCAGTGAATAGGGCTTTCTGAGCGTCTGACAGTTCTGCGCTGCATTCCTTCTGCGCGGAAACAAAGCACCGATTGCCCGCAGTCAACTGTTCATTTCTACACTTCAGCATCGACTTACAAACAATAACACTAATCATGAGTTGATATAATGTCATTATTTTCCCAAAAAGAATGCTGCTTTATTCTGTTTCCATATTTACCTGTAAGGGACTCTGTAGATGTGCCAAAAGCGCGCTCAGTCATCACATGATCAGTTTCTTTTCGAGCAGTAAAGTCCGCACCAGCCTGGGGGGGAAAAAAACTCCATTTGCAAGACGATAAAAAAGATTTAAGAAAAAAAAAGAGATGAGAGCAGCGTGTTGAATGGTTTAAAAAAGTGGACACCCTCTCCCTTCTTGTGGGTTTTGTGCGTCAAGCGGAGCGTATATAGTTTCCAGGTGGTGCGCTGCGCTGATGCAGACGCTGTGCGCTCAGGCCCCGGTCCCCCCCGGCGCTCCGAGAAGATGCCTCTCCAGGGGGCCTCACCGGCAACTCATGGCCATCTCATGCGGATTTAAAAAAACCATTAAGCCTTCGTTAAAACATTGACGCTGCGCGCAAACTTACTTCTTCTTAAAGCAGATGAGAAAACCCTCCAAAAGAAAAAACATAAATCCACAGCCTGGTTTTCCCTCATTCAACAAGAGAATCCAACACTTTTAGTCGCATCCAATACAGTTTCCAGCGCACTGATTCTTTATCAGTTATATCTTCTTAAAGATCCATGGAGATGCTGCTGCGCATCCTCGTTGCGCACTGTAAGCCTGGAACACTCCGTGCCCCCCTCCTCCTCTGCTGTTGCGCACAAGAATGACCGGTGGTTTCTGCTCTCGCTCAGGTCTGCTCCAGACTGCACTGCTCGGTTCCGTCCATCCACGAAGCTTTCACAGCTGGATGGTGATGGGGGGAGAGAGAGAAGGGGGGGATAGGTGGGTGTTCTCCAAAACTTCTCGCTCTCCGCCTCCGCCGGGCTCCCTGCCAGCTCTGTGCCAATAGGATCGCGGGAGCGCTCAGAGGGCCCTCCTCCCCGGTATGGGTATGTAAGTTCAAGCTGGAGATGGGAATGGGGTAAAACAGCTGGAATCCTAATGTCAGTCTGCAGCCAATGAGAAGCAAGCGAGTGACGGTATCTGTTGCGTGATTGGCACAGAGTTTTATCAGGGAAAGTTTGAGGAGGGAAATCTTTGCTGCACGTGGAATAAGAGAATCTATAACTGTCTTAAATAAAAACAGTATTCTAGATGCTTCCTTCAGGATCAACTCAAAATCAGATCCATTTAAAGTTATACTCACAAACACTGTAAACCCAAACAATTATACTAAAACATGTAACATTTTTGTAACAAATTAGATTTTTGCATTGTGCATATAAATCTTTTAAATGTGCAGCATTAAGTGCTCCATTTATATATATATATATATATATATATATATATATATATATATATATATATATATATATATATATATATATATATATATATATATATATATATATATATATATATTTTTTTTTTTTTTTTTTTTTTTTTTTTTTTTTTATTATTATTTTTTAACAGTGTCCTGTCTGGCAATGTGGCAATAAGAATAATTGTCTTGATGCCAAAAAAATGCCCAATAGATTTTACTTTCACAAGTGGACCAGTATGGCTATCGCCACAGTGCTCTGCTTGATGCATATAAATTGCTTTAATATAATTCATGCAGGGAGTATTACAGATTATGTGAACACTGCAATGTAGGTAGAACAGGAAAGTAAAAACGGGAAAAAGAGGTGTAAAAAAGGAACAGCACAACCAACTGATATATGATATATGTATCGCTGAAGTGGTCTTATTTAATCTGACATATATACTGTGGTAGCTGAAGATAAGAATATGGGCTTTCTGTATGGAAGTAAATCTCTAAATACCTGGAACCAAGCACCTGTAGTTGTTTGTGAGAGTGCACTTGTACATGCAAAGTTTATCCAAAGGGAAAATGCTCAATGGTGGTTGTGAAGAGCCAAAGACCTGCCCCCCCAGAGCACCGAGGCAAGCGCCGGGGGACCTAAAACCCCAGACACCCAAAGGGATCCCCCAGAGCAAAGGTGCCAAAGAGCGGCCGACCCAGGAATTCCACCCCTCCACTAGGAAAAGAGGAGAAATGTCCCAGAGCAAATCCCCCGGCCGATGCAATGCCGAAGCCCCCAGGAGCGCGCTCTGCCAGCAGCCAGCCACCCCAAAGTTGAACAGGCCATGGGCCCCAGGGACCCGAGGCCCCAGGGGCGCTCCCCCTGAACTTCTCCATGTCTTAACATTTTGTTTACTTGTCCTGATCTCATACTCATCCTGAAATTGTTTTGGTTTACAATGAATGTTTACTTTTTTTTTTAAGTTGCTTTTTAAAATGACTCACAGTTAATCTTTTTTTTTTTTCTTTTCTTTTTTTCTACAAAATTTGGGTTTTGGGGATTTATCACATATTTTATTGACATTTTATGTGATAAAACAACTCAAAACAGTGCATAAAATGAAATAGAGAATATAAGAGAAAGAGCAGAAGCTTAGTCATTTTAAATGCAGATCCCCTGTTAACAGGAACAGTTCTAGGTCTTGACTGATGTTCTAAATAAGGTTTTCGGTCTGGCCTTATCATCCGAAAACATAAACAGACTCTGATATATCTTTCAATTGTCGCTCTGGCTTTATATTCATTGTTTTATTTTGTAGATCATAATAATTTATTCAATATGTTCCATGTATTTATCTCAATCCATACTCTTATGAACACACACCAGCTGCTCCTTCTGAAGAAATGTATCCCGAACTGCCACCCATGTATGTAACCATAGAGAATGTGCATTCAGGTTTAAATGAAATGGGTTTTTGTTTGTTTGTTTGTTTGTTTGTTTGTTTGTTTTGGTTTCTTTTTATTATTGCATGTTTTGTTTGGGTCTCATCTGACAACCTTCTTTTACACCTTAGTAGAATTTTTCTTTTCTGTACAAACTTCCATCTTAGCTTTGAAACTCCATTCGTTAAATTAAAATGGGCCTCTTGGCATATTCTATTAGATTTTTTGCCCAGCCTGCCAGTTTAAGTTGGCGGCCTTGTCTTGTTAGGTTTGCAGAAATGCCAACTTCCTTTTTCAGATTATAGATTGAACAGTGCTCTGTGAAATGTTCAAAGCCTGACACACTATTTTACAATAAATAAAACTTCCCCTCAACTTTGCTATTCATGACTTGTTCTTTAGTTCTTCTGATCATGATTTCCACTTTCTTTAACAAACGATCAGCTGGATTTTTACTAAAAAAAAAAAAAAAAAAGACATTTCAACAAAGGTGGACACATTAAAAACGCAAAATTTACATCAATTTGATTTGTTGGATCTTTATAGCGAGAGTACACAGCAGTAAAGTGGAACCGATAATAGCAATAATAGAAGTATTTAGAAAACCAGATCTCTTTATGTCATCCTAACAGAATGTTGGTGTTGTAATGTGAGTAATTTACCGCAAGCACTGAATAATTTTACAACATAAACTCAATCACTGTAAAACATATTTATCAGGCAGCTTTTAAGGCCACAGAGTTCCCTGTTAAGCAACAAATAGTCATGTCCTTTTTAGTATAGCCCATCATCTAATATTTAGCAGATTATATATGCAATGAAATAAAAAGTAGTCAGATTTTTTGTTAGAAATTGGTGTGTGTGTGTGTGTGTGTGTGTGTGTGTGTGTGTGTGTGTGTGTGTGTGTGTGTGTGTGTGTGTGTGTGTGTGTGTGTGTGTGTGTTAATAATGAAACTTCTTGGTTTAGTGTTTCCAGATGCAAGGATCCTGAGCCCTGCAGGAGTGCTTTCACAGATGCTGCACACTAGTGGCCACTAGAGGAAGTTGTTTCCTCAGGCTGTTTGTATGCCTCTCTCATTGTTGGATCCACACTTGGTTTGCAAACTAAAACAGCCCAAGGCAGGATAGGTACTCGTAAAGCGGCTCTACATGTACTGATATGTGATACTGGGATTCATAAGTCCTACATATGGTCCAATATCCCCCACTCACTCACCCTTCCATATTGACTTCTATTTATTTTGCTGTCATTTTAATGGCCTAAAGCAGACCCTTACCCTAAGCTAAGCCATTTCACTCCTAAACCTAACCTCAACCCAACAAGAGAACGTTTCCTGATGGGGGACCCGTCAACTGGCCCCTACTAGAACATGTCCCCAAAAGTTACCCTTATCATGGGAAGTTGACCGTACACTGTCCTCACAAGGTAACAAATACCCACACACCCATGTTTTTTATACATACGAAGGACATTGTATTGACTTCCATTAGTTTTCAAACCTTTCTCTTTTCCAGCCTAGACCATAGCCCAAAAAATTAGGACTAGAAAAAAAGGTCCTCACTATACATCAAAGTGCTCTCTTAACAAGTAAAACATAAAAAAAAAAGCTTGCACTCAGCTGCAAGTAGAAGTGCGCACACACACACACACTTAATCATTCATTTGGAAATAACTCACTACCCAGCAGCAGTTTACTTTATTTTATTACAGCATATGATCATTGATCTGCGAGCAGGCAGGACCGAATCAATGATGAGGACAAATTTAGTTTTTATGGCATCTGTTGCAGCTGCAGTGGCAGATATGAATCGCCTGGGCTGTTTACACTGACCTCGCAGTGAAAGCATGCAGAGTGAGAATCATTGATATGACCTATAAAGAACCACCACATGTGGGTACAGGTGCAGGAAGATGCAAAAGGGCATGTTGCTAATTATTTTCTGGTAAATTTTAGTAAATCTAGTTGCTCTAGTTGGCCTGATCACTTGACTTAGAGATTAAAGGAGAAAGAAATGAAATACGCATTTAGTAGGGAAAAATAAGACACTTCTGAGAGAAACAACTGAAACCAGTTAGGTGTTAAGATTAATATCACAGATTAATGATAAGCAACATTAATGCTTTTATTATTTTAAAAAAAGAATCTAGCCCTTATCATTCAGCACTCCCAGGCTGTTATGTGGGAAATCCTTTTATGCTCTCTACTTTGAGTTAAGATTCTGATTTATTAGCACAACATTTCTCAGCCCTCTGGGAGAATGTCTTTTTTTAATGTGCTCTAGGACCAGAGGACTCCTTTAGAGAGTGCATTTTCAGCTGCGTTTTTATTGGATTAAGGCTGAATTGTATAATCTCAAGGAGATTAGCAGGAGTACTGGTTAGATTGGTCAGTATCCATGAGAAAGGAGCAGTTTAAGACTGGTACTTTTAAAGTTTCCAGAAAACTGCAAAAAGGGGCTGATCTCTTCTCCAATGATGTGATTTGGTGGAGCAGAAACAATAAGAAGAGATGGGAGGAGGGCTGAGCCAGTGGGAGGTATGTACCTCAGCTTTTGGGACATGGAATGTTACCTCTCTGGTGGGTAAGGAGCCTGAGCTAGTGCGCAAGGTTGAAAGGTTCCAAATAGAGATAGTTGGACTTACCTCGACGCATGGCTCTGGCTCTGGAACTAGTCTCCTTGAGAGGGGCTGGACATTCTTCCACTCTGGAGTTGCCCCTGGTGAGAGGCGCCGAGCAGGGGTGGGCATTGTTGTTGCCCCTCAGCTTGGTGCCTGTACGTTGAGGTTCACCCCTGTGAAGGAGAGGGTTGCCTCTCTCTGCATACGTCTGGGGGGACGGGTTCTGACTGTTGTTTGTGCTTATGCGCCAAACAGTAGTTCAGATTACCCACCCTTTTTTGAGTTTTTAGAGGGGATACTGGAGACTGCCCCTCCTGGGGGGACTACCTTGTTCCTCTGGGGGACTATAACTCTCAGTGGGCAATGACAGTGAGACCTGGCGAGGCGTGGTTGGAAGGAATGGCCCACCTGACCTGAATTCGAGTTGTGTTGGACTTCTGCGCTCATCATGGATTGTCCATAACG